AGATTTGTGCAATACTTATGGGGTCTCACAAAATGTTTGATGGAAGGAGGGGGAGTCCTGGGGGATCGCGAAAAATTCTCAGTGATAAAAGGGGGTCGCGTCTGGAAAAAGTCTAAGAAACCCTGCTTTACTATTATGTAGCTACAGAAATATTTGATAACATTATTGCTGGGAATATTGCAAAAAGTGTAACGTATCAACTTTCTAACCAAAAGACACATGACTTAAGCAATTCTGGACCTAGTATATTTCTCAAAAAAAGAAATCACAGAAAGGAATGGAGAGGGGAAGGCTCGTTGGCTGCAAGAGAAGTTGCGACATCAGTTCAAACAGAAGTCAAATAACTGACAAACAAAACATGATTTGACTGTGTTGCCATTCCTGACTGGACTTAACTTAGTTGTGCTTCATGAGTAATATGGAAGAAAACAATTTTACAGGTTTCATACTTGGTACAGTGTGGAAAGAAATTGCAAATGGAAATACTAAATATAAAAGAAAAATAATAAAGGAATATAATATTAATTCTGACGTCAAAATAAAGAAAATTCTTGATACAAATTGACACGAGTATATACAACTAAAAACTGAAAAATCTCTAAATATCATTATTATTTTAATGACAGACCTATTTTAAACATTTAAATAGAACCTCTAAATAACATACTACTCATTTACAACTCATGAAGACTGCAGTTTTTAAATTACTTATGTGCATTATTATTTACTGGGCTGGTTTTGAAATACTCACGTTTTCTGGTTGTCCATGCATTAACTAGCAAGAAAACCTGGGAGTTCAGTATAGCTAAACAATGTTATAATGCAATATATGTAACAGTAACAATGTTAAATAATACAATATATGTACTATACTTTCATTTAGATATGCATTTTAGATATTGTTATACACTTGATCTTTTTTTGTCTTTAAAAATGGATTTTGTGAAAAAAAAAACTTATAAAAGAATAGTTTGAAGTAGAAAAATACAACTGGCTGCAAGCAGTGCAGTTCTTTACTGCAGATTAGCAATATAAATACATACCTCACCATTAAACTGCAGCACTATGAAAGAAAACAGTTCACAGAATTGCATTTTACAAATTCATTATTATAGAAATATAAAACAGTTAAATTTCATTCACTATTGAGGTACAAAAAATGCAGAAATCATTAGTACCAACATTCACCTCTGGCAGTAATATCATCTGTTATATACTGGGCACAGAGATGAATAGAGTTTATATGGTATTTGCAAGTATTGCAAATTCATATGGCTTTAATTCTATGCTAGAATTCATCTGCCATTCCAGCTAAGTTATTGTTCCAGTTCTTGTATAGTCACTGACCACATATTTACAATTGATCAGATATCTGGAGAACACACCTGCCGAGGAAGAAATTGAATACCTTGTATATTGAGGAAACATAGGACAATGTGAGCAACATAGTCTTGCATTGTCCTATTGAAAGGTGGGGTGATGGAAGCCTTGAATTTTCAAATCTCACTAATATGATGCTGGCTAATCAAAGTATTGGATATGTTTAGTAGAGGTGAGTATAATGTATAGCCAAAGGCATTTCATACCATCAATCTAAACTTTTTGTCCTTAAGACCATATTCTAGAATATCTGTTAGATAGCAGGCAGCATTTACTTTTTCAAGGTGAATTTATAGTTGGATAGAGTTAATAATACATGCACAGAACTTACAAAAAGTACTTAATTTAAGAAATAAAACTTAACATATAAAAACTATTGTTTTTATTATTGTGCAAAATAATTATTAAGTAATGCATACAAAATCTACAAAGTATAATTCTTTATAAAAAGTACAAATCTCAAAGTGAGTGCAATTTTTGGCATTGCATTTCATCGGCTATTTCTTCATAGTTAAGCGAATATGGTGATATTCCTGCTCATAAGCAGTCTTCAAGGTGTTCATCTGTAAGTTGTGATCAGTACTTTGATTTTATAATATTCATTGTCGAAAATAATAACGCAACTCACATGTGGAATTGAAAACGATTTTAATCTATATGCTGCTTTTTTCAGGAATGGAAATATTTCAGGAATGGAACTATACTCCAGAAATTCTCATCTGATTCAATGGATATTAGGACAATGTCGTTCTGAAGATCCTAAAATTTCTATCCCCAGTTCTTCTGTCATTACATGAACAAACTCTGAAATGTACATAATTAGTTCAGTTACATTTACTTGGTAAGTAAAAGAATTGACAAAAAAGGTGACCATTGGCTCAAGGATATTAAACCGTTGAAAGCACTTTTCAAACTGGTTTTGAAGTAATTGAAGGTTTATAACGAATATTGATAAGTCAATTTTACTGTCACCTATTATTCTGTTCGTATTCGGAAAATACACAAGGGAACTGCATCTTCAGATATGATATCCACAAAACCAGTTAAGCTTTAAACGAGTTTATAGATCCTATCATTGTAGCTATAAGGTTTGTCCTTTTCCTGCAGTTTTATGTTTAAACAATTAAGTTTTTCCATTATATCTGTGAAAAAAGCCACATCCGCTAGCCAATGAGGGTTTGTTAGTTCAACAAAATTCTAATTTTTGGCATTGAGATCATTTTTTATTCCATCAATTAAATTTGTAAATCTAGCAAGAACTTTTCCTTTACTGAGACAAGGTACTTCGGTATGCAGAATGAGATCAGGATATTCATGGATTTTCCACTAGACCTTGAAAATCATGTTGCAAAGGAGCTGCGTGAACTAAATTGACTATTTTTGTAACAAATTTCATGACTTGTCCAAATGGTAGTATTCTACCACACAAAACTTCCTACTGGATAATACAGTGCTACGACATAAAGTTTGGAAATGATTCAGAAGAAGGCAATAAATCCAATGACATTACCAACCATTGCAGCAAATTTGAGTGATAATATTACATAGATTTAACAAATATTCATATGAAATGGTAATTTCAGTTTGATAAAACATTTGTGATTTATGCTATGATTATTTTTTGGAAATGCAATAATCCTATGTCAGATAGCAAAACATATTTAACTGTAATGGCCAAATAAATCTTGTCACTTCCTGTTTTATAACAGAAATAGAAAAGTTTTGATAATAACATAGAAAACTATTCATTATAGCAGCGTGGTTCAACCCGTAACCCTCTTATTCATTTTGTTGGCTCTTACCCTTGTTACTAGGGAAAAAAAAGTTAGTTAAACATTTGGAAAAACAAAAGACCCTTCTTACTGCTTTAAATAATAAATATTAAATAAAAATAATTAAAATAATAATAATTAAATAATAAAAATTATACGGCTCAGTGAGACAATGAAAAGTGTTGTAAATATTGTAAACTTAATAAGGGAAGGCAAAGTTCAAAGACAATTCAATTGCTGAGTATGGTGACATTTCATTGTACTGTCAAGTGTTCTGATTAAATGCTGGAAATTGTCTGCAACAGTTTTATGGGTTGAGAAATGAAACTCTTGCTTTCTTCAAAAAAGAAAACATTAAGCATGAATATCAAGAAAAATTGGAAGAAATCCAGTTTTTAAATAATCCTGCTTTTCTGACAGATTTAACATCCCACCTAAATGCTTTAAACTTAAAACTACAAGGCAGAAAATAAAAAAACATCCCAGCTTTATGGACATACTGAAGGCTTTTGGAAAAAAAGTAATATAATGCGAATTGCACTGAAGGCAAATAATATGGCACACTTCCCATTTTGCCAGCAGCTGAAAGAAGAAAATGACACAAATTTTAGTATGTTTCCTGAAACTATTACTGATATCAAGAAAGAGTTCCATGACAGATTTCAGGATTTTGACTCCATAAAAACAAAAATTTAATTGTTAAACAACCCCATGGAGATTGAAGTAATGAGGTGCCTTGCGACCTTCAAATGGAAATTTGTGATTTTCAGGCAGATCCATTCTACCAGATTAAAAAGTGTGATGTCACTAAATATTTCTGTAAGCTGATGTCTACAGAATTTTTTCCCAAATTGCATAAATTCTCTTTCCAAATGTTATCGCTGTTTGGTAGTATATATGTGCGTGAAAGTGCTTTTTCTGCTTTCTCTTTCCAAAAGTTATTGCTGGTTGGTAGTATATATGTGTGTGAAAGTGCTTTTTCTGCTCTCAAACAAATTAAATCAAAATTGAGAAATCGCATTGGTGGTATATTCTCCAGTCGGTGTGGGTCTTAACATTCGTATAATTAATACTGGTGGCAGTCACAGGAGTATAATCAGAGCTTCAGTTGTCTTGAACCTCCAGCACTGTATTAATTCTTGTATTAGATACTGAAATTATAGTGGACATTGATACACTTGTATCAAAAAAGCAGTACTAATCATCAAATTGATTTCTAAACTGTAAAATAAAGTGATATATTAAACTAGTGATTTATATGTAAATCATTTTCTTTCTTTGATGTCTCTAGCCCTCACTCTCCTATACTAAAGCTTGATTGACCCTCAGGTAACTAAAGGTTGGACCACACTGCATTATAGTAGTATTATACAAATAACAGTCACTGCTAAAGAGTATTTGTAACAAAATATTTCCTCACACATTTCTTTTTTCATTAAATATACAGCTCAAAAGATATTTCTGTAACAGTTCTGAATTACCTAAAACAGACAACTTTCTAATAAATAAATAAATTCAAGGCAGATATCATTTTTCCCCTTGGGCTGCTTTATGTGCCTATTAAAATGCACTTTTATGTTCATATGCAAATTATGAGTTATAACTGAAAAAAAAAAATAATAATAAAATACTGCAATTTTCATTCTCAATAATAGTATATATATCAAACATATTATAAGAATTTAATGAGCTATATGATTTTAGAGCAAACTCACAACACTGCTTAAACTGAATGGCATAACTGATTAGATTAAGATAAGAACCATTTCAGAATTAAGATACTAGAACTAAGCATAATATAACATACTAAGCATAACTACAATGTTATGAATAATATATTTTTCTTACTGAATGAGATGTATCCCACTTGCTGACTCTCTCTAACTTATCATTTACATTTGCAATTTGCTGTAAATACCAGTTACAGGCTCTTTCAACAACATCCAAACCTTGAAGCAGAAAATCCTTTTCTTGTTCTAAAAGTTTCAGCCTCTTAATCTATTTCGATTACAAAGAGTACATTAAAAATTTCATTTTCATTTTCAAAATTCATATGCAACAGATAATATTTATATTTTCTTAATGAGAAATCCAATTAGAAATTCATAAATTTTATAAATTATTTTATAAATTTTATTATAAAAAATTTTATTACATAATTTTCAGTAATCTAATAATAGATAACTTAACATAAACAAATCTAAGAAACATAAGAATTGTACAAGAGTTTGGCATATGATAATTAAAAAATATACACGCATTAATTTTAAACAAATATGTGAGCATGTTGGCTTTTCTTATGTTTAAAAGATATTATACAAAAAATAAAACAAAACTTGGTTCCTTTATCAAAATTGGAATTTCTTATAGATTTAAAAGTCTTCAATGAAAATATTTTATAAAATTTTCCATGTTGAATTAATATAATTTTTTTTCTATACATTACAGAAAATGTTAAGATTTTTTTATCCAATTTATTAGCACTCAGTTAATATTTAATTTATTACATTGTAAATTTAGATGAAAATTTTCTTTGTTAGATTACACATTTTAATAAAGTCAACCCCTGATTAACCAGGCCCTGTCTAAAGAAGTTATGCTTGTTTATTCTGGAATAATATAAAAATTGCCATCACAAATCATTAGCAGAACACAAAATTATCATTGGGAAACACAAGCAGGGAAAGGAAAACCCAAGGATAACAGCAGAAACAATAGTTGATGATATAATCATTTGTAATTTAGTTTCTTTATTTTTATTTATGTTTATTCTCAATTATTTATAGTGCACCCTTTTTGTTTTGAATACTGATTTTATTTACATTACGAATTTACTCTCCTAATTCAATTGTTTGAAAAAAAATTATGCTTAAATTTAAACCAAAATCTTAGATATTTTAACCCTTTGCAGCATGCTGTGCCCAGTCTGGGCACACCTAAAAATTTCCTTCTGTATGCACAGAAAAATTGAATGAAAAAGGATTTATAGGTTACTCTGAACCTTCTTTATGTATACTAGATGGCAGCACAACACAAACCAGTCCATATATTTTGGCCATGTTTAGTTTTTAAAGACCCTCATTTTTCAAAGAAATTTTCTAGGTTTTTTTTTTTAAGATATAAAAGGAATTGTTTGAAAAGAAATTTCTCTGTTATTTTCTTGGCTGTATGCTAATCTCCTTATCCTATATTAGTTTAAAATTTCTACCTTGAGATCTTGCCTAAAATCGAACGGTGAACATCAGGTGTGCCCAGAATGGGATCACTAAGAGACTAGGATCAGACCAACAACTGTATCTTTGTTTCTGTGCAGCTCACTGGTCAGCTCATTGACAAGAGAAAGGTAGGTCAACATCTATGTTTCATTTCCTGTTTTTCTCTTTTTTTTTGGGGGGGGAGGTGTAGGATTGGTTATTAACTAAGAAATTGTTGAGGTGATTTTCTGAAGATCAAGGGAAATTTTATAAGTTAGCTTTTTGGTTTTTCACTAGAGTAGTTCTCTTTCGCTTTCATTCAAAGAAATCTGTTAGTATATATGCGTAAACGCATATGCGCATGCGCATAATACGTTTATGCATGCACGTTTAATGTATAACGGACGGTAAGAGCTAGGTTAAAATTATCTAATTATATATTTCAGTTAATGTTGCAGATTGCATTGTTCCTTAACTTCTAATTGATCCGCTTATTTTTTTTTTGCAGACTGTTAGAGCAATTTATAAATAAGCTTGAACTTTCGATTATGTCAAAAGTGTTCCTAATTCTGGAGCTGCCAAAGAATTACAAAGCGAAGCATGTTTCGATGTCCATCAAAAAAAAAAAAAAAAGTGGAATTGCCAAAAATGATAAAGGCATGAAGAAAGTGACAGAGAGGTTAGTGAAGACGAAAAAAATTCGATTGACAAGTTAGTCGGTATTCTCGGCACAGCAATTAAGAGCTTGAACACAGAACTTGTACTGAACAAGAATTATGTCTGTTTATAGAATTAAGAGAAATATTAGCACATAAACGAAGCAAAAGCTTACATTGAAGAAATGTTTAATAAAGTAAACAAATAATATTAAACCTTTTTTTTTTTTTTGTAAATTTGATACCCTTTAGATCATAATTGCTTTATTTCATAATTACGGTTTCATATTTTAATTTTATAATTTTCTGCATGCCATCTTACCAGATTTAAATTGATGATCTATAATCCAGAAAAACCCCTAATCAGGAATCGCCGAAGTCCTGACAAGTCCAGATTAAAGACTTTATACTGTAGTTTATAATTCCTAACTGTAGACATAATATTTGTTTATTTTTGTTTTGAATTTTAATGTTTGTTTTGTTTTGAATTATGTTCCAAATGTATCGGAGAGGGCCGACCATTTCTGAATCACTGAAAGTGCACACAAATTTCTTTCAAATAGTGAATATGATACGGATCTCAATACATGTGCAAAACATGCAGTATTGGTTGTGACTTTTCAAAGGTGGTATCACTTTCTTCGAAAAGTACTACCATGAAAAAACAGACGAAAGTGTAAGTATGAAATGTAAATAATATAAATATCATATACCCAAGTTACATATTTTCTATTCAACCGCATGGAATCGTCATATAACCAAGAAGAGCTTTTTTGGGGGGGGTAGAGTATAGCAAGCCTCCCTGTGGCATACCCCGGGTAATGCTAAATCTGCTACAGTATTCAGAATCTAGTGTTTTTTAATCGTAGGCAAAATCACTTATTCTTTTACATGCTTCCCAGCAATGCTCATTTCAGCACTCTTTTCGAAGCTCTATTCATTCAGTGGGCCTGCTTCGGACACAACCACAGAATTAAAATGATAAGCTCTATCTTCATAAAATTTTAACTGTGTACTCCTCTAGGCCTGATTACACTGCCTATCTTTTTTTCGGGGGGGGGGTCAAAATTCCAACTTTAAAAGGTGGCGAGCCGGAAAGGGTTAACACTATAGTTTAAAATTTAACACTATAGTTTTCTTCTAATTAATGCAAGTAAACTGTTAAAAGTAAATTTTTCTAATTATTATAATGAGTTATTTGTCTTTCCTATTTTTTTAACTAACCTTGGAATAACTGTGGATGTATGCCAGTTGACTATTAGGCCATATAATTAACATATATACTGTTATGTAAAAGTTAATGTTACTTTTAAAATTAACAGTTGACTATTATTTACATGCTGAATTTATTGAACGGCCTTGGTTTTTTTTTACAACTTTCTTAGTGTAAGATAACAGTAGGTAGTAACATAAACAGATTCTAGTCTGAATTTTAGTAAATTTAAAGCTTAATTTTATAGAAAACAAACTATTTTCCATTTTCAGGAAAGAAAAATTCCTTTGATAACATGTTTAAAATTAAAAATTGTGTAATGAAATCTATTACTATACGAGCATTTAATTGTTAATACCATACCAAAACTATTAATCTGCATTTTATACAGCTTTCACTTAGAATTTTTTAGGCTCCTTTTCAACATTTTAAATTATGATGAAAAGAGAGATGTACATTAACACTGGTTGGCAAGGTCATATATATATGACCATAAAAAATATTCTAGGTCATATATATATGACCTAGAATATTTTTTGTGACATCTTTAAGAAAGTTCATTTATGCACATCTTAAAAAATCTGTCTAAGAAATTAAGGCAATATATTAAAAGTACAAAAAATCCAGGTATAAAGTACCAGGAACATTTCAGCATTAAAATAAAAACACCTCCCCACGGCAGTTTTGGGAAATTTGGGCTTTCTGAAAGAGCTATATAACTTACAAATGTTTTTTCACAATGCACTTTTAAAACATATTTTTATTGAAATATAAATTTTGCAGATCCATGGTTTTAGAATGTGCCATAAATAATTAATGAACATTACTGGAAAAAAAATTAAAATGCTACATAGTAAAAACAGTTTTACAAAATTGCTCTATCCCAGCGGGTCCAACCCACAGCCTCTTTCATTTGTTGGCCGCACCCCTTCTTACTGGAAAAAAAAAAAAAAGTAGTTACATTTGGAAAAACAAAGACATTCTTACTGTTTTACATAATAAATATTAAATATAATAATTAAATAATAAAAATTATATGGCTCAGTGAGACAATGAAAACTGTTGTAAATGTTGTAAACTTAATAAGGGAAGGCAAAGCTCAAAGACAGAGAGCATTTATTGCATTTGTGGATAATTCGAATGCTGAGTATGATGACATTTCATTGTACTGTCAAGTGTTCTGATTAAGTGCTGGAAATTGTCTGCAACAGTTTTTTGGGTTGAGGAATGAAACTCTTGATTTCTTCAAAAAAGAAAACATTAAGCATGAATATCAAGAAAAATTGGAAGAAATCCAGTTTTTAAATAATTCTGCTTTTCTGACAGATTTAACATCCCACCTAAATGCTTTAAACTTAAAACTACAAGGCAGAAAATAAAAAAACATCCCAGCTTTATGGACATACTGAAGGCTTTTGAAAAAAAAGATAAAGCAATTGCACTGAAGGCATAATAGCACACTCCCATTTTGCCAGCAGCTGAGAAAATACACATTTTGTATATTTCATGAAATAATTACTGAAGCAAGACGAGTTCCAGGATTTTACACCCAAAAAACAACTTTATATTAACATCCCTGGAGATTGAAGTAATGAGGTGCCTGCAATCTCAAGGGAATTTTTATCTTCAGCTGATTATTCTACAAGACGGTGATCACTGAACATTAGGGAACTGATTTAAAGAAGTTTTCTCACTGATAATTTCTCTTTCCAAATGTTATCGCTGTTGGGCAGGATATATGTGTGTGAAAGTGCTTTTTCTGCTCTCAAACAAATTAAATCAAAAATGAGAAATCACATTGAAAGTGCTTCACTGAAATCGAGCCTGAAACTTTGCCTTACTGAAATTATAGTGGGCATTTATAAACTTGTATAAAAAAGCAGTGCTGATCGTCAAATTGATTTCTAGATTGTAAAATAAAGTGATATATTAAACTGGTGAT